CAGCCATTTTGAATTTGTTTGTCACTTGATAAGAGAATCTTGAAATAGTATTATAAATATTTGTTTCAAAGTTTTCTGCTGCTTTTCAAATAATAAATTAAACATTTCAAATCTGCACATTTTGAAATATGGCAATCAAGTGCCAAAATTGCAAACTTACAGTTTATGGAAGACAGAAGAGAAAATTCTGTTTGCTATGTAATGAGCTTCTTCATGAAAAATGTATCATCAGTAAGAATTTTGTAATTCATCTGGTCAATTGTAAATATACAATTACTTCCTTTCAGATTCCAGGCTGTCAGTTTGTCTGGATTGTGAAAAAAGACAGTGTCTTCTTCAAATGACAAGACTAGAAGATCAAGGAATGAAAGAAAGAGTTGCAATGGATGAGAATGAAGATGAAAAGATTGATGAAGAGACAACAGATAACAGAAAAGGTGATGATCTTAGAGATTCAAATACAAATAATGATGAAATATCAATCAACAATCAACAATAACAGTTTTACTTGGTCACAGCAAGAGATTCACCACCAATGGGTACGATTTCACCTGGATACAGTTTCACCCAGGTACGGTTTCACCTGTCACCCATGCATTTAGATATACTGATATATGAATACTTAGACTTTAGATATAAGCGTACTTTAGAAAGACTTCAATTTTGAAGGAATTATAGTGGTGGAACTTTAGAAAGACTTTTATTTCGTAGTGTTACCTTTTAGTACTTTAGAAAGAACTCTATTTCGTAAGAAATAGACTCTTTGACCATAGCAGATGATGGCTACTTGGGAATGAACAAGGGAACAAAGAACATGGAAAAGATGCATGTCAAACAACAGATACTGATCAGGCAGGCCTGGTTGCAGTGGAACATGTTTGGCATGTGGCACTAATCTTAGAATTACACATTTTATATGTGTGATTTAACAAGTCTTTCATGTTACATGAGAATTATGAGACTGTCAGATTTCAACTTTCAAAACTGGCATTTTGTTGCTTAATTCCTCCCAAAATTATAGATTGCTTTATTTACATAAAGTTGAAAAAATTGAAAAAAAATCATATCACACAGGTTAAATAATAAAATGAAGTCATAAAACAACAATAATTTTGTCAAAAAATTTTTATGTAAAATTTACCTAAATGCTTTTTGAAAGGAATTTACATAACAATTTTTGTGTCACTTACTTTATATCTATTAAGTTGTATGGAGTATATCATAGAAATGAAATGAGAAGTGGGACGCTATAAATTTTACCAGAGTATATTTTAATTAATAGATAAAATTGTTTATCTCTGAAGTTATCTTTATTATCTAAATCATTAATTAATAATATCATAGAGTTATATCAGTTATATTTATTGTACACCTATACTCATCAGCTCTATTCTAAAACATATTGGTAGTGTTGACTTAACACTGATAACACTGATGTATTACCCTAGTTTTTCACATGCATTTAAAATATCCAGATATTCTTAAGTTTACAATATGTCTAATGACATACAATAATGCTTATCAGATTGTTCTAAAAACTTATTAAAATGCACAAAGGAATATCAACTTGATTCAACAAAAATTAATTTTGTCATTTGATACAAAACAACACTGCTACAATCAGAAAAAATTTTCCAACTGCCTAAATAGTTACAATCACCCCTGTTATTCTGATGTTGTATCCGATTTTGAAGAAGTGTCATGTTACATATGTAGACCAGGTGACAATAATGTTGAAAGAAATATCTTTTCATATGTTAAGAAAAATTGTAATAAATGTTTAAATACCGAAATTACATTTGTTGAACTACTTGTGGACGAACTTTAAAGGTTCTATTTGGACCAGTACTTCGGCAAATTGGTAGATGATTGGAAAGGACGATTACACTTGTGACGAACCAGAAATTCCTACAATTACAATACAACAAAGTACAAAGGCAACTCTTTTTTTATATTGTACTTTGTTGTATTGTAATTGTAGGAATTTCTGGGGGTTGTTGAAAACGCTCACTGTGCCTAACTATTACATCAAAACTACAAAAGTTGTATAATTACATTTAAAGTATTTTTTGGCTATTATAGAGGAGTTGGAACCAGACTATTCAAACATTTACACAGTTTTGGAGATAAGTGGAATGATTTGTCTATAAATTTGAATTTGTCTTTGAAAAATATTCATAAGGTTTGTTGTTTTTTCACAACATTGGCACCCACCTTGGGTGCATTCCCCTAAAGAGTAGGGGTGCGAACATACCCAACCTCCATCATTATAATTCCTACAACATAAAAGTCCTTCTATAGTTCCCCCATTATAATTGCTACGAAATAAAAGCCTTTCTAAAGTTCTATAATATATAAAGCCTAAATATTATTATGTTGATAATTCTAAGTGCACAGAAGTAGTTATTTTATGAAGTTTCTCTAAATTAAAAAATATGGGATTATTTCATTTGAAAAAGAGATAAGGTAATTATTCAATATTAGTATAGAATTGAATAGGTGCAGGTTAAGTGTTTTTCACAATTGGCTAAGTGAAGGTTTTTTTTTATTATATCTTTAATTGAACCTTCTCTTTATAGACAATGGCTGCCACTTGTTATCAATGTAAGAAAAGGATTTATGGAAAGAGATCAGTACATAAATGTTCAGTATGTAATCATACATATTGCATGCATTTTAAGTGCAGCAAAGGTTTTTATGAAATTTATTGCAAAATTTCCCATTAAAAAATTATATTTGAAAAACAGATGTGATTGTTTCACAAAAAATACCCAAAAATATGGATGACATTCTTTTCAAAAATGGGACATTCTTCCCATAACCCCTAAAAGCTATTTATTTGCTGCTCGTGACAATTCAATGAATGGTAATGGGGGTTGACAGAAAATGTCCACAAATAAGAAATTTCAAGACATGAATGTCCCTACATGGTCCCTTTTACTATAATATAACAATTCAATGAATTTTAATGGTGAAGTACACTTACCAAATATTATTGCAATAAGAAGATTTTTAACAAGTGGTAATAGATTTAGAGTATTTGAAGAAGGGTATTATTTTATAAACTTTGGATCATGGTCTAAATATTCTAGAAATTCTAAAATTGGGTTTTATTTTAGATGTCATAATCAAAAGAGCTTACCACTATTGAGTTTTCTAACAGTTTTACATCACCAGTTATGCAATCAATAAGTTTTATTCAGAGATTATATGCAGATGAACATATTTATTTACAAAATCTTGCTGGTATTGCATTGCATTTAATATACCAAGTCAAAATAAAAATAATAGAATTGAGATCTACATTGATATCAATAGACACAAAAAGACAAGAGTGCTCAAATCAAATAATTTAGCTGTAGATGGATATCCTGGGTATGCATCTGGTGGAGTACTAATGAAATTGTCAGAAAATGATAATCTAAAGTCAAAACACCTTGGTTGTATAGTTGCTATTGGAAATGAAGGAACACTAACAATAATATTTATACCTTGAGTATCCAGTTTACATTAAATAAATAATGAAATAAATATGATTTGTGATGAAACATTTAAATGTTACAGATCATCTCTCTGCAGTAGACATCTATATCTAAGTGTCAATACTGTATTTTCTTAGACTATTAGTACATAGGCATTTGAATATTGCTTGCACAATATTTTGTAGTTCTATTTTCCCATTCTAGGATGTTTTGCCCCTGGACATTTTGTCCATTTGGATGTCAATTTAGTCTTACTTTTTAGGATATTTGATCTGTTTTGTTAAAAACATTTTAAGTGTGTTAAATATTTATTGAAAATATTGCTGAGTGATAATAACTATTTAGAGAAAGAAAAGTATACTAAAACAGACATTTTAAACATTTAATGTAACTAATTGATCTAAAAGATTATCTAGACTGGTTTCTCTTCTTTCAAACTGATCCCATAAAATATTGGCCTGTAGGTTTTCACATTTCCTTTACTGTAATTTCTTAAACTTCCCCTCTGATAACAATTTGTTAACATGTATTAGTTCAGCCTCTCTTGCTAATTCTTTGATAAGATAGTAGAAATTTTTATTAATTCCTACTGCTCTAGTTAATCTTGTTTGCCAACCTTTACCTTTATTGTTTGTTCTGATAAGTAGATAGAAAGACCAAAACTTTAGCTTTCAAATGTTACCATCAGTATAAGTTTTTCGAATATATTCCACAAGACAATTCTTTTCTATGCAATTTTGATCAAAAAGGCCAACCTCATTAAATGGATTGTTAACTTTTACCATATATAAAAGCTGGTATGTTTAAGGCATGTCATGGAATACATCCACAAATCTTTGCTTTTACCCTAATCCTAACTTGGGTTTGCCCAGCCATTTTCAATAGCTGTAACCCTCAGATGGTATCCCTATATCTTATTCATCCTAACCATTTTTCAATCTAAAATCTAACCTTTAGCCTTGCAGAGTAAAATGACAAGTTTACAAGCAATTATATTGTGGTTCAAACAGTTGAACCAATTGCAGTTTTTCTCCCAGCTTCACTAAAATAAATGACAGTACTGCAAATTTTAATCACTGTTAGACTAAAACAGATCTTTCTTTATAGTATTTACATTTATTGCACTAGCAACGGTCATTTCCGGCAATTGCCAATCTACACAATAGAGTCAACATGATTGAATAAGTTACCAAAAGACTGGTACCTGTTTCAATACTGTACAGTCCCCACTCTCATTATGTTGGAAATGGCAAATAGATTTCAATTGATTAGGAACCTTCCAATTCAGCAAGCACATCTTTGCCTATTACCCCCTTTAAAGAAAAATGTGAATTACTGCAAAAATTATGGCATCTAAAGCAGAAAATATTACCAGTAGACCAGGGGGCGCTCTCTATCAACTTATTGATCCAAATGTCTATCCACAAAACATTTAATCGTTTTAGAATAGCAAACTGATATATCTTACTCAGTGTATAACATGCTTTTGATAAAAGCTGTCGCTGTTTATATAGTAACCATGGTAACAATCAATGGCTATACCAGTGATACAAGGAACTTTGAGAATGAAATTGCCAATTTACTACATGATAAGCTAGGTTTGTCAGCCTATCAGGTATGGTAGTTTTAATAACTAAAAAAAATAAAACACCTTAATAATGACAATCACATTTAAGAACAATTCATTTCTAGAAATATTTAGACCAAGAGACAAATATACTGTATAAAAAGCAGTTATTGAATAACTCAAACAGCCAGGATGTACTCAAAAAAGTAAAAGGTAGCTTGATTAATTTTTTATTAAAATAATAGAATCCTTTTTCAGTTATTGAGATCACTTGAATTGAAATTGAATGAAAGAAAAATTGCATTAGCCTCGTTAACAAAGACTATAACAGATAAATATTATCAATTCTATGAAACTGATAATATATCAAAGAGTTGTAATATAGTCAAACCGAAAGGCTTTTGTATTGCAAAGAGGGAAAAGTTAAATCTTGCCAAAGTTCCAACTGCTCAAATAATCAAGTTAATACAGAAAAATTCTAAAAAATATGAATTTATTAAAAGTCAATATATTGGCACTGAACAAGGTGTTGTTATGATATCGGGTCCTAGAATAGTATGGCCAAGAAACAATGATCACAGATACCAATCTTGGTATGCTCAGGCAAGTAATCCTATTAAGAAAGACATAGTTTTGATTTTTGACAACTCAGGTATAGTTCAATACATTTAAACATTATGATTATCCAGTCTTATCATAAATTCTTTCTCCCATCAAGAAAAGACATCTAATACAGTTCAAGGTCGAGAGATACAAAGTTATTTTGTAGAGGCAGTAGACACTCTAATCAATACTCTGAATGACCAAGATAGACTTTCTCTTGTTGCGATGTCCACCTCACATTTCAGCCCTTTTACAGATGATAAAACATGCCAGGGCAATAAATTCATGTTTGTCACACCAAACAATAAGAAACATTTAAAAAAATTCATTCATCAACTTAATGCTCAAGGAATTGCCAACTACATTGATGCATTCAACACCACTTTCTCCATATTTTCATCATCATCTATGGATAAAGCATTAAATGTTGGAACTAGAGGTCTCTGTTTGATAAATTACTCAAATCAGAGTCTATAAAAACATTTTCCTTTCAGAAAAACTTATAATATTTTTAACATATTCAACACCAAATTCTGATATTACAACTGTTAAACAATTTATTGAAAAATCCATTAACAGTCCAATTTTCACATATGCAGTTGGAGATAGTAGGTATCCACAATTATGTCAACAATTTCTCAAAAACTACTCAGCTGAATTTGTTAATAGTGATATTTTTTGAACAGATATCAACAATGAAACATTAACATTTCTTCAAGAGATTTCAACAAAAACATACAAATATAATGGAAATTTTGAACAGCAAGGAATGTTTAAATTTGTAAGAGATGTTGATAAAATCAAATTTGAATTGGCAACTTTCTACAAATCTTTGAAGGATAGTAATAAAAATAGAAATGTACTTGTCACTTCCCCATTTTATAATGGAATTGATGGTCTTTTAATATCATTTTGTATGCCAATATGGATTTATGGATTTCTGGGAGTAGCACGTATTGATGTCAGTTTTACAGATATATTTTCGGATATTGAATTTTTTCTTGGTGCTCAATCTTCATACACCTTTTTAACGGATTCAATGAACCGGGCATTATTACATCCTCTTATCTCTCCACCTTCTCACACTTTTCAAACTTTAACATATTTACCATTCAACTTCCTTGAACCTCAACTTTCACCTCTACAAATTGATCAAATGATAAGGTAATTCAAATAATTGTTCAGACTTGCTAATCACTACTTCCCTCTTTCTTAGTTCAACAGAAGGATCATTTGCAGCAGTTACACAGAGAATAAATTCACTTGGTATTTCTATATATGATGGAATAGATGTTCAGAATGTGTCATCTAAATATTATTGGGTGAAGACTAAGGAATTTAGATTTATGATTTGTTTTGTAGTAGCCGAAAATGACTATTTAACAAACAATCAATTTAGACTATCCTATCATCAATTGGCTTATCACAAAATATCCAGTGGTTGTCCATACAAAGCAAAAATCATTTCAAGAAATATCACCACAATAAAATTTGGTCCAGAATTATTTCTTCAACCATATCAGTATTTGAGTTCTATGGAGTCTTACAGCATATTAACTTCTTATGAGAACTACTTAAAAGGAAAATCCAAGAATTCAATATTTAAAAACCAAATTTGGTCAGAAATGGCTATGACTCATCAATTGGATAGAATATGGTCACAATTGGATAATAAATACTCAACACCATATGGCTTTAGGTTTTATGGCTCAAAATTAGGTGTATTTAAATCATTTCCTGGATATGAGTTAGCCGAGCAATTCACACCAACACACCAATCTTGGTACAAGAGAACAATGTTTCATAAGGGCAAAATTGCTATATCTCCAATTGAGAGGAACAACATCCAGACTGACTGGATTAATACTGTGAGCCATGTTGTATATGAAGGACGTCAAAATGGCAAACATGACAGTCAGGACAATGTACTAGGAATTATGGGATTGGAAATCAGAGTTGGTTATTTCTATTACACCATGGAAAAATTCATTCCGAAATGCCAATTAAGCCTATATAGTTGCATAATGATTGATGTCAGTGGATTAGTGATCAGCTACAAACAAGCAGCCCAAAATCCAAATGACACACATTCCTATATGCATATAATATCAATAGAACCCAAATTATCTAGTGAGCTCATTTCCAAAAACATTCTTCAGAGAAGACAGTGTTTCAACACTTTAAAGTTGAAAAACCAATTATTTTGGAAGGTCAGTTTTGTCTCTCAGTTGTGTGCATAAACAATTCAAACAATTTGAATACTCTAAACTAGGTCATATTTGATGGTGAAATGTATTCTGGAAGATTCTTTACTATTCAAAAGATTAGAAATTCAAATGCCATTTTGATAATCATTAATAGAAATGACGAGCTTTTATTTGAGAATTATTGCTTAAAGTGCAAGCCAGAAATGGCAAGTTGCCAAGAAAATATTGAATGCCAATGTCCTTGTTTCATGCCCAATGAATTTTATGATTGCCAATTAGGTCAAAGGTTACTTATCTTTCCTTTCTTATTCAAGTGAATAATTTTAAATTTACATAGTTTTTCATTCAATCACAGAGAAAAAACTCCAATCTGCTCTGTTGCATTAATTAAACAATTTCCAGTTCATTCAAAAGCGTATTTTGCACAATGTGGAAGAAAACCAAGTTGTTATGGCAATGAAGAAAAGTCAGTTGTTGTAATACTTATGCAGTCGCCTCTCCCCTCTTTTAAAATAACATTATTTTATCTTAATCCTACAGAACATGTTCCAAATTAAAGCATTGCGCTTGGTGTTATACCAAATGGAACATAAGATATATTCATAGAAGAACTGAATGTGTAATACCAATTAAATGTGTCAAGTTTATTGAGAAACCCAAAGGTTCATCAAAATCTATCGCTCCCTCTTTAGGTGGAAGTTTAGGAATTATGGGTGGCTTTGTAGGTAAAATTTTTTTAACTCTACATACGTGTATATATGTGGGTGATTCAAAGATCATCGTTTTAAAAATTTCGTCTTTTATGTGAACATAGCCCTATAGTAACTGCTTTCACTGCAATTTAAAAAATTTCTTTCTTCCATAATAGTTTTGATACTTTTGATAAGTCTCTACTGGAAATTGCATAAGAATAAAAGCTGTAGAAAAACCATTGCAAATGAAGAACCAGTAAGAAGTGAGATGACGAATATAGAAAGCATTGCAGAAGTTGCTACAGATGAGTCTGCAGAGGAAGAGGAAGAGGATTCTCTTGATGGATCTTTTGAGAATCTGGCTGAGGAGTGTACACAATATTCTCCTGATAAATGTGAGGAGAATGCTACTGAGAAATATAGAGAGGATAGCAATGTGGAATCTGAACAATATGCTACAAACGAATATGAGGAAGATGCTACTGATGAAGAGGGTAGCAATGAGGAATCTGCACGATATCCTACTGATGACTCTACACAATATGGTCTTGATGAATCTGCAGAACATAATATTGATGTGTCTGTAGAGGAGAATGTTGCTGATGAGACTCCAGAATACGCTACTTATCAATCTGCAAGATATGCTGCTGATGAATCTGAAGAAAATTCTACTTATGAATTCTCACAAGAATCTATTGATGAATCTGCTGAGGAACCAAACACAAAATCATCAGAGAATTTTGCTGAGTTACCGACTTATGAAGAGGCTGTTGGTTATAAATATTTAAAAACTAAGGAATGAAAAGGAAATGACAAATTTGAAACTTCTAACACATCACATTTAATTTTATTTCACATTCTCAAAAATATGTAATGGTCACCATTTCATATGAATGATTAACATACCTTGCTGCTATAAACCTTACCAAAAAACAACTCTTTAAAAAGTGACATTGTTAAGCACTGGATGGCACTGATTTTTTTTTATATTTATTTGTCATATTTTATCTCCATAATCTAAAGTGTTCTCCTTGAAATAGCTCTCACATGACCCCCTTGATGATAACAACAATTACAATCACTCATTTGAAATTATAAGAGGTGGAAGCAAGAAAGGAAAAGACATTCGACTCTATAATGGATTTGTATTTAATGTAAAGTTTATGAAAGACAGCTATACCTGTCCTGAGATGCAGCTTTTGCAATAAAAAGAAAATATGTCCTGCTATATTTAAACAACAAGGTTCAACATTTATTGAAAGCACACTGAAACATTGTCATGAAAAACAAAATAGCCTATCAATGAAAATCAAAACAAGAACAGACTTGAGAGAAATATGTTTAACTGATTTAAAGTCATCAGGAAAAGTTATTGTCAAAAGTGAACTGCTTGATTACAGCAAAGCAGTTGAATGACTTCCTAAACTGGAAAATTTACAGCACCTAGCGAATTTGATAAGACAAAAGATTCACCCAATTGAACCACATGCATTAAATTTTGATCTAAATATAGCATTTATACCAGATGGTTTCCTTCAAAGAGATTTCTATAATGAAAAGGAAAGAATAGTAATGTTTGCATCAATGAAGCAATTGGAATTGTTAGCAAAGAGCAAGGTATGGGATATGGATGGCACTTTGAAAGTTAACAGCCTTTTTACCAACTATTTTCAATACATTCATTCATTAAAAACATGGTGAAGTGAAACAAGTACCACTTATGTTTGTGTTTATATCATCAGCAAAGTCAAGAGCTTACAAATATGTATTAAAGGTATAATTTGTCTATAAAAATTATTGCATAAGTCATTTTCTGTGCTTGCTTTTTGTCTGCAGGAAATTAAAAGAATGACTGATGAACAAGTTATTCCTGATGACTTTTTAATCAAGGACATTATAAAGGCTGATGCAGGATATATCATTTTTGGTGATAATCATCAAATTGATCTGTTGAAGCAGGCTAAAATATTGTTCATGGATGGAACCTTCAAAGTGATTTCTGAACCATTTCAATAGCTTTTCACAATCCATGCATTCATAAAAAAGAATGGAAATTTAAAGCAGGTTACATTAGTTTATGTTTTTATGAGTCATAGAAAGAAAAAATCTTATAAAGCCATACTCAAGGTAAAATATATGTCTTATTTTCATGAAAAACACTATATTTTTGGGTACAGGAGAAAACGTCCACTGGAGAAAACGTCCACTGTTTGGAGAAAACGTCTAAGAATGATTGACAACAGTGTAACAACATTAAAGAATAAAGGTATTTTAAACTGGTGAATAAATGTCAGAAGCTTTATCAAGTAAGTCCAGGGAGGTAATTGAGGCAATTTCAAATTGTTCCCATAAGCTGAATATTTTGCTCTGAATATTCTGATATGCTTTTCTTTGCTGTCAACAAATTTTCTTTTCACTCAGTAATTTTTTATATAGCTTTATCAGATCAGCTTCTCTTTTCAGTTCATCTAAAAGCAAATAGAATGCAGTGTTAGAGCAAAGATTCTTGTTAAGCCTGTGATGCCAGCCTTCAAGATCATTATTTGTCCTTATAGCCTCACTATATACAGACCGTACCTCTGGTTTATAAAATCCATTTATCCATTGTGTCTCAATGTACAATAAGGTATCAAATGTTGAAAAAATAATTAACAAAATATTGGATGTATTTTGCTTTCCAGTCCTTGTCAGTGGAACCATACCATTCCATGTAATCATGTTGATGACTGATAATAAAGGTACAGTTGAATTTGAACAACATACTGTACTTGATTAGTATAGATCAACAATTTTTTGATGTATAGACAAAATTTTCACTATCTTTTAGTCTAAATGTAACAGTAACTATTTATTCAACTCAGTTTTGTTTTACCCGAACCCTGCCTGACCTTTTTCATGACCCCCTAACCCTCAGATGAAACTCTCATTGAGTGCATATCACTTGTTGTCGTACAAGAGAAACCTAGGATTAAGTTAGGTTAAAATCTTGAGCTATGCAAAAAACGCTCTATTTAATCACATGACAGGAGATATACAAACCAAATTTCAATAGTTTCCTCCTCTGACGAAATGAGATGATAAATTTCCAAAAGTATTTAAATAGATGTATCTTTTCCGAAATATTAATGAAGTTGACACAAATTGTTCTTAGTATAGAACTAATTGAAAGAATAGGCCTATGTCTATTTCATTTTCAAAAGAATTAACATCCTTTGACAATAGTGATGAATAATTGAGTATAAAAATGATTGCTAATTAGTATATTCAAGTTCATGGAACAATATTCAATGTAATAAATAGTTTTATTGTTGTGCTGTTCTTGCTGGCAAAATCTATGCATTTGCAAGTTATAACAATACTGGTTCTACTTGAACCTTTAAACAAATGTTTAAATTAAAACGGTTTATTCGCAATAATAATACTTAAGCAAGTAACAATATGAGAGTTTGATAGCAGAGTAGATAGTTTGTAAAAGCAGGTTGCCAAATTACCAAACTGTCTTCTAATGTTGAGGAGTAGATGGATGGTTACAGTGGAGGTTGTTTCCAGATAATTTTCCCAGGTCCTTGGGTCCAGATGGAAGCTGCATGCCAAATGAGAATAGTGAGGATTTATATACTTTGAGGTTTGCCTCTGACATCCAATCATCACTTTACAGTTGCCGAAATGTGTAGTTCATATTTATGTTTAGTAAGAGGATGTTACAAGGTTGAACATTTAGGAAGGTTAATTGAATTATAACTTGGCCACACCCTAGGCAAGTTAATTAAATTATAACTTGGCCAAACCTTTATTGGTAATTAAAGATGAGCCTTCAAGCTGACTAATCAGACTTATGTTTGGCCAATGTT